ATATATATATATATATACTATATATATATATATATATATACTACTATATATATATATATATATATATATATATATATATATATATATATATATATATATATATATATATATCAAGTTACACGTCGAATAATTTTGAGTGTGCAAAAAAATAGAGGGCACGTCAAGGAATCTATCGTGATTACGATGGTATGCCAAATTCAACCTCTAAAGAAGGTCGACCCTTGCTCCAATTTCACAAACGGTGGAGGCCGCGAAGGCATCGTGACATACATCACTAAATTTCAGTACGAAAACGTCCATCCAAGCAAGTATGCACGTACCAAAAATCATTCATGTGCATGTGACTCAGTTTATACAAATATATCGAAAACTTACTTTTTTATAGTTTATCAGTTCTTCTCTCATCAGATAAGCTTTCACTACGCCCCTCGCATACATCTCACACTGTATATACTCAACGATATACTCATCCAGGCCGGTCCGGTCCACCGAGTCCAGCAGAACTTTTAAGCCCCCCATTCTATACAACGCTACGGTGGTGGGGTGTACAGCGAGCACTGATGGTTCGTTTGCGCTAACAGCGTTGCTAAGTAATCTCCGCTTGAATAAAGTAGGTACAACATAGTAGTCGTATGTACGCACTAGAAGGTATGTGCCTACAGCTGATAGACCAGCTGCTAGGATATGGGTGCTCATAGTGTGCGAATACTAATATATATGTCCGCTTATGTTTAAATGCTCATGTGTTTATAGGCTTGTATAAAATGTTTGATTATAATAGTATATGAGTATAATATTAATGTCCCGGTGCCTCGAGTAAGCTTCTGAAGCAATCTGCAATATACATACACGCCCTGAGGTGCTTTAGTATGCTGAGGACCTCAATACCACATTGATGATTTCTTAGTTGTTGAAATAGACTGTTGGGATTAATGAGTGGATTATTATACTAGCCTATATACGTATTCGCCCCACGGTACAGGTATCTGGGCGACGAGAACTTTTTATTTACACAGTGTCATAGTATTGCAGCAACTGGTACACATAGTATTGTTCTATATATCAAATAAATGCATACTGTATAGTGTATAGTGTAAGTGTGTATACTTTAATATGAGGTGTTCCCAAATCTGAAATCCCAGAGCAGTCATAATGGACAACTTTATTCTGATTCGTCGAATGCACCATCGTCGTGCTTGCCAGAAACCCCTGAACCCTGTCGGCAAATTCCCTAATAATTTACATTTTTTAGTAAATACATAGAGCTGATAGGCCCTGAGGGCTGAGGATGCATGATGTTTGGTGGAACGCTGCGCAATCTCTCTCTCGTCGATAGCAGGCACGCTTTCATTGTACTAGCCCCGATAAATATATGTACATATCTGGTGATAACTTGATTTGAAACTGTTAATTAATATGGCCTCCACTGCAGCACCTCAAACGGGTGCAAAAACCCTAAAAATAGAACAGGTAGACACACTAGAAGGCAAATTACGAGTAGCCGTAGAAGGATGTTGTCACGGAGAGCTCGACAAAATATACAAAACAATCGCATCCATCGAAGAAGCGAAGAAATACAAAATCGACTTACTGCTAATATGTGGTGACTTTCAGGTGATTATGAGTCTTCTGTATTGTTGGTGTCAACAATGTTTCACTTTTGTAATCTGGCGTGTATGTCGCAGAAAATGAGTGAGGACTTGGCTCTACGCTGCATTAGGCTGCTTTGTTAGTCATATATTGAATGCACAATTCAGAAGGTTGTCGTTCATTTATATTAAGACATATACGCACACACACACACACACACACACACACA